TCATGAATGGTTTTCTCTGGTCGCGTGCTGGGCAGTTATGTTGAAGGTGTGCAAACATTCCGCTTATGCGACATTCGACGTATGTGTGACCCATGTGCTATGGCCAATGTGCACAACAGGAACCACAGAAAACAAATCGTCTCGAGTGCCTGCATGTTTGACACGCCTCGAGTGATGTTCTCCACACTGGCTCCTGAACCCGCCGGTGGTCTGCAGGCGCCCTCGTCCCTCCCTTTGGGTGGCGCGGGCGTTGTTCGGTTCAGCATTGACGAGCGTGCACCGCTGGTGCGCAGGGACGGTGCTGCGGCAGCAGTGCGCACGTCCCAGTTATCCGTCAATCGTTCCCCAGACGGCGCACTCGATACATGCTGCCGGGCTGCTGGCGAAGACCCGACACCGCCAGCGACGCCGCCAGCGACGGACGCGCCGCCACGTACTGTGGAAGGTTCCGTCTGCTCCCTTCGAGGCTGCTGCAGGCCACGTGCGGAAGCATGGGCGGCGGTGATGACCGTGCGGCTCGCCTCCATGGCACCGCCAGAACTCAAGCCGAACCGGAGATCAACTCCCCCGTCGTCGCCGTCTCCCAAGCCTTGCTGCAGGAGTGATGTGTACTCGCCGCGTTCGTTGCTTGCCGACCCGCCTACGAGCACCGTCTGCGACAACAGCTGCGTCGACCCCCTGGCGAGAGGAAACGTTGGAAGTTCATCCCCCTCCGGCTCCTCGTTCGAGGGAGGCAGCGGCGTCTCCCACGACAGCAGATGGTTGTACATGGACGGGTCGTACCGCCGTGAAGGCTCCGTCGTCGCAGGTCTTCTTCCGCCCTCAGCTGCAGGCAGAACAGCGCATGCCTTCATGCCCGCCATGGGACGTTCCTCTTGAAGCACAGTGCCTTTCGTCGACGCCGTGCGCTTTCGAGGTTGCTTCCACGGCCGACACGACAAGCACACGTGGAGGAAGACGACAAAGAGGAAGACGACCACAACGAGCAGCAGCAGAGGCAATCTCCTCTGCATATCTGCCATGAATTCGACATCGACAGGTGACCTTGCACGTGACGTCCTGCTGAACTTTCTCCTCGCATGCTCGCGGACAAGGCCGCTGGACCTTCATATGCCGTCGACCGACAGCGAAGACGACAAACGTTGGCGCCTCCGATTCAAAAACCGACCGTTGGCGCCCACGCCGCCTCCGTGTGTCGTCGTGCCGACGTCTGGGGACTCCTCCGTTGCCCGCACCCGAGCCAACGGTCCGCAACGGCCACCCGCCTGGCCACGCTTCGACCCGCGTGCTCCACCCCACCGGCCAACGGCTACCGGTGGGGGCCGTTGCCGTCGTCGACCGCCAGAAAACCTCTGATGTCCGCCCACCGGCCCGATGGACCTCTCCTGGACCAGCGCCTCCGTGTCGACGGTGCCATTGTCGCGACGCGACGACTCCTTGAAACGCGGGAATCCTAAATTTTTCAGTAGGTCCGGTGCTACTGGAAAATTTAGGACGATTTGGCTGGGGGATCCTAAATCTTTTAGGACGAGTCCTAACGCCGTTTTCACATTTTCGATTCCCGCCTCCCATTTAGGATTGCGTGCAACCAAGACGCAATCCTAAAAACAGGAACTTTTAGGAGTGTCTAACGAGACCCTTAGTCAAATTCTTTCCATGTTGTGTTGGTTTATATTTTGATGCATGGTTTGTTTTTTGTGTTTCACGGACAAAAAAAAAAGAAAAAAACTTTCCGCCATTTACGGCAGTGGAGATGGTGTGGAACGCTTGCCTGAGTGCTAACACTTGTTGGGATGCTGGTCAATGAGGATGGTGGTGGTGGTCGTGTTGATTGCGTGCCTCCATGCCAATACTATCAGTGGCGCCATGGCGGGGCGTGCTTGCCTCAGTGGCAACACTATCATCCTTACGTCTTAGAAGCGTCGTTGTGGTGAATTTTGTGTGTTGGTCTTTTTGGGTCAATTACCTAGGAAGATTTTCATACCCGGTCGGCCAGGGGGGGGGGGGGGTCTGACGTCCGGGGTACCCGGGCGTGCAAAAAAAATAAAATATTGTTATCATTATTTCTTTTCAATTTCTTTTTTGCCTTTCTGCACTCTCCCAGAGGACCCCAAATCCCGGCTGTTTTCATTTTTTGAGAGTTGGCTGTCAAGGGGGGGGGAAGGGGGGCATACATTGTTTTTAAAGGGGCTAAGGGGGTTTAAAGGGGGGTCCCTTAGTGTGATTTTGTTATTGTCTTTTTCATCTCCAATTCTGATGTGACCCTCACCCAAAAGTTTTTTTTCATGTGTATCGGGGGACAAGTTGGGTGCCCGGGCGCCCAGAAAAACAACCTTTTTTTTTTTTTTTTTTYTTTTTAAAACAACCTAGTAAATTACTAATTACTAATTACTAATTACTAATTAGTAATTTCCGAATGAACTCCCATTTTGTCAAAATGGAGAGTTGAACAAATTGAGCTTTGTCGAAAAGCCCAAAAAACAGGTGAAAATTCTTTAATGGTTGTATCTGGACTTCATTCAGTCTAGATGCATCCGAAATATTCTTTTGCTTAGGGAGAGGGTGTGGCATTCTCAGAAGAGAATTTCCGGCATTCTTTTGGGCTTTTCAACGAAGCCCGGTTTCATTCAACGAATAAAAAAAATCTCCATTTCGACAAACTGGCAGTTAATGGGCTGGGGGTGCTTCACATCCTTTGAAATTCCCATCATATCCTTTTCTATCCATGGCGTGACAGCATTGGGCGGTGCAAGAGGTGGTCTTGGTGCTGGTTTGGGTGCTTGGGCATTCACAATGGCAGAGCCCGGTTTTATATGATTGTACCGTCGGTGGCAGTCCCATACGCTCCACCTACTATGCTACGTATGCTGCTTACTTTATACAACGTGCACTAGAACTACTCACAGTACCAACACTAGAACTACTCACAGTACCAACACTAGAACTACTCACAGTACCAACACTAGAACTACTCACAGTACCANTACTCACAGTACCAACACTAGAACTACTCACAGTACCAACACTAGAACTACTCACAGTACCAACACTAGAACTACTCACAGTACCAACACTAGAAATACTCACAGTACCAACACTAGAACTACTCGCAGTACCCTATGACAGCCACGCTACCCTACAATGGTACTGTCTGCGCCCCTTGACTGGTTGGAATCATACTTGCAACCACACTGTCCTTCGCACGGCGTGCGGTGCGGCACCTGCCCGTGTTCCGTACCAGCTACAGTTTCCCTTTTTTTTGCTGTTTTTGTAGATTCAGAAGAGTGCACCACCTAAGGAACTGATCTTTTTCAAGTACAGTCGTACAAATTTTTCTTTCGGCCCAATTGGGCATGACAAAATTAGACAAATAGCATCCAAAAGGTGTCTGGGACATCAGTCTTGACCTTTAGGCACCGGCATTACCCTCCCGCTATTTTTTTTTTTTAAATTATTTTTAATTATTTTTATTATTTTTATTTTTTTTCCCACCAACAAAAGCCCTGAGTGGGGGAGGGGGGACCCCTGTCGCTAGCGACCTGGTAGCGCCGGTCTGGGCCGATACTCCCGGGTGGGTTGCGAGGATTGTGCGCTTCTCCCTTGAGCGATCACTGGGTAAGTGGGTGGGCCCGCTGCACCGCCAGTAGGGCTGACCCCGGCGCGGGAAGCCCTCTGTCGGACATCCTCCCTGAGCCATAATCCCCGACACCTCCACAACCCCTTTTAAAGAAATCTTTAAAGGGCACGCAGGTGACCATTGAGTCATTGACCCAGCCATGCGACCCCCTCTTTTTTTTGAGTGAATATTTCCCCCATGCGCTGCACATGCCCCGTGCACTGCCCCGTGCGGGTCCGCTCGTGCGCCGAACGTGCGGAATGTTTCCGTACGGCATCCACTTGCATGTATGGGTGGAATGTATGAGTGTCAGTTCCATATGCTCCATCTACTATGCCACCCATGGTACTAACTTTCTAGAGCTTACACTAGGACTACTTACAGCACCCACACTACCCCTATGCACACTCGGCTGCCCATGCCGCCCTGTACACACCATGCTACCCACAACATCCTACCCACATGCATGACACTGCTAGACTACAACACTACCTACCTGCACCCTTCCGTCCATCCATCCTACCCATACGTGCATACAAATGTACATGCTTGTGCACATCCGCAGATGCATGTATAAACTCGTAAATGACTGTATACATAAATGACTGTACACTGTATACACACTCATACATATACGTCCCCACTTTCATTTCACCTTTTCGGTTCTTCATTTTTAACATTTGTTTGCCTAGTTTCTCTTGCTTTGTGATTTGACTTTACTTCATTTTTTCCTCCTTCACTTCGGCCATCTCTTAACCCGCCAGTACCTTGCGGGCAATGTTTTTTTTGCCTGGGAAAGGTACCGGCAGTTTAAAGATGTGTGCAATGTGCATGTCCATCGTTTTATTCACATGCATTTGAGTGTATGCATCTCTCCATCCCTCACACCCATCCCCCCATCCATTCACGAATCGTTTCTACATCTCTTTCCTTTTTCCTTCATGCGGTCTGTCTGTCTACGCGCACGTATGCCTCCCTCCCTCCCTCCCTCCCTCCCTCCCTCCGCCTGTCTGTTGCAGATAGGCAGAAGACCTACATACCAACGTACATTCCGATAGATAGACAAGCATACATGCAAACATAGACATACAGTCAGAGAAATGAATAGGGAGGCAAACAACACAGAGGACAAAATGGAAGAGGTGTACGCATTGCAATGAACTGCCATTTCGTCAAAACGGACATCTGTTATTTTTTGAACGAAATTGAAACCGAGGTTTTTGGCCGAAAACTCGTCAAAATTTGCTGTTCCTGAGGGTCCGGCGTTTGTAAAACGCTGGACCCCCTGGCTGTACATGGACCTAGCTTGAGACCAGGCACCTCCAGGCAGTTTTCGGCCAAAAAAGTCCGTTTCAATTTCGTTCAAAAAATAAAAAATGTCCATTTTGACGAAACGGTCGTTAATGTAAAAAGATGCATGAGACTTTACTATCACAGAGAAAACATTGTTTCATGATCATAGCGCCGCACCGTATACACAGCCATCACCCTTCTGACTATCACTGCTCACGTGCGCCTTCTGTAACATGCAGGGGGTTAGTCGGATGTTGAAAACACACCTTTGCGGAGGAGCAGAAGGATCCGAACTTCCTTGAGGGGAAGGTTCCGATGGTGGTGGGCTTGGGACCTCCCTTGGAGACGCAGCCGGCGAATCTTGCCTATCGTTTACTGGCAGGTTTACTCGACCTTGTGCCATCTGGTTCCGCTCAAAGATGGGCAGCAACTGATCGAAACTTGGCCGTTGCACAGCATCAAAGGCAAAGCATTTCTTGAGAGCCTCTGTCACCTCCGCGGGCAACCCGGAAGGAACCGGAGGCTTTTCTTTATCCAGCGCCACGCGCTTCTGAATTTCTAAAATCGACCGGGCACTGTCGAATGGTGGGTTTCCAGTGAACATGTCGATGACTGAGCACGCAAAGCTCCAAACATCAGACGTCTGATGCAGTCGCCCATCGCCTGCACCCCATGCCTCAGGTGGCATATAACAAGGGGTGCCCGCAACCTGGCCGCGCAACAAAGTGGTGGTGGCACTCTCCTTCAAAAGCTTTGACAGTCCGAAGTCCGCCACAACTGCAAGAAGGCAATGACAGCACAACTCTCACACCGAGTCAGTTGCTTGCTCCTTTAAACCACCAGTACTTCCTAAAGTAGTGCCCGTTAACGCGCCACGATTTTAGGAAACGAACGGGCCACTACAGGAGCGCCCAAATTCATCCGACTAGAAACGTTTCTACTCTATTTTTTTCCGCGGCCGATAGCTGGGCCAAGTACTGGTGGTTTAATCACTCAGCACCTGTAACTGACCTGGTTCTTTTTTTTTTCGGTTTTTGGGTTTGAGTACGGTGATGTCACTTTTGAGTATTGAATGAGCGAAGAAAAAAAAAACACGCGCCAGCAAAGAAAACAGGTGTGGAGTTCCAAAAAGCAATGAAATTACTTCAAACTTCAAATTACCAATGGCCGTGGTGTCAGGTCGGGGACCCCAGGGAATTTGCAGATCCGTTTCCCCCATCACATCTAGCACTGGTGGAGATACCGTAATCAATTTGAGGGTGGTAAGGGGTGGTAATTTTAAGCAGTAAGAAAGTGATGTTTTTTTTTATGTTGCTGCTTGGTATGTCAGGCTAAATCTGGCGGCTTTTTAAAGCTGACGAGGCAGATATCTTTCTCATTGTGTCTTCACATTTTTCTGTAGTTTCTGGGTCCCTTTGGGTCTCGTAAAAAGCGAAACTGGGTAAGGCTCCCAGACATTGTCTCATCCAGGTAGATTGTGAGGTCCCCGGCCGCGATGATACTTTTTGAATATCAGCCTTGGGCACTGGGCCCTCTGTTTAAAAAAAAAAAAAAAACAAAACAAAAAAAAAGGTCGGGTGTCATAACTACAGGGGTCGGCCGGCCATGGTGTCAATTGCGGAAAGGAAAAAAAAAAAAAAAAAAGCCCAACGGATTCTTTTCTCCCCAAATTGCCGTTTCAAACTCACGATGTGGTGATATCTCTGCGGGTGCGTATTTTTCTCGCCTTTGCCAACTCGAAACCTGCCGCGTCCGCCCTCGTCTCTTTTTTTTTTTTTTTTTTTTTTTGCCAGGTCATCACCTGTTGTGCACCCCAGAGGATTTTATCATCAATTGCTGTCAACTTCGTAACTTTGTATCATTATCACCATTACATCTGTTCACATCTGCGGGTCTCATGCATCGGAATCCTCGAAGGCACGACAATCACACAAGGCCACACACCCAATGATACATCTGCGAGTCGTGCTAACAATCTGACACGTAGACACACATGCATGCTGGACCATCGAAGACACATATAGAAGAAATGAACCGCATGAAGCCGTCTATATGAAGATGTATCTTCTGAAATTTCAATTCTGAAAAGAAAGCGAGAATCTGAAGACTACCAACTGACCTAGCTCAGCTGGTACACCCATGAACCCTTGAAATACAGACCTGAGTTTGAACTCCGATGGAATCCGGTAAGTACATCCGAATTCACATCGGGCTGGTCAGTTCAAAGATGATGCCACCAGTCCGCCGCCCTCGAAAAAAGAAGAAAAGAAAAAGAAAACAGAGAAATGCTCAGAAATCTGAAAAAGCATGACAGAAGTTATGTACAATTGCTGCACAATTTCCGCACAAACCTTCAGTGGTGGTCATCTCTTGGCTGAGGGAATACCCACACGGGGACCTGATGACCTTAGATCCCAAAATTTGAGGCAGTTTTCGGGTCACATTGGAGAGGCCCGCTACCCAAATGTACTTTTTGGTGACCCTTTTGTCAGCAGCCTGCAGGGCCACAGGAGGACCCTTTTTGAGGGCACCTCCACAAGTGGTCTCAAGCAACCTTTTTGATTTTTGATCATTTTTCCTTTGTCCGTGAGGTATTTCAAGCAATTCGTGCATGAGGAAAACAGGTGTGTGTTAGTTCAGCATTGAAAAAAAAAAAAAAAAGAACTCTGTATTTTTTGGGGTAAGCAGTGTGACTACGTGCACTTCCTGGAGGTGCAAATGTCAGGACTGCGACTGTGTCCTTTGTGGACAGAGAACGTGCGTGTGACCACACGGGCACCCAAAGGAGCAAATAAATGGTACCAAACGTCCCAGATATTTGCGCCTTTAGGTCCCCGTGTGAGTATGCCCTGAGAGTCTCGAGACACGTCCAAACGTGTGGATCACTTCCATGATAGGTATGGACATCATGCAGTGTCGTTTGGTTTGGTGTATGGACTTGCTGTGGCAATTATACTCCTACTCTATCACCATAGTTAACCCACGCACACTTGCCGTGAGTTACTCTCATGTGTGATAAACAGGCCTGAGTTCGAACCCTGATGGAATCAGATCTGTAAAATGACTCTGAATTACCTGGGACCAGTCAGTGCAAGGACCATCTCTGAAGATCATCATCCCTTAAGCGCGCGCAAACAAAATGTCAGTGGCGTGTGGTGTGGTTTGGGCAGGATGGCTGAAACACCCTCACATGTTTAGTGAGTCTATTGAGCATTTGTTGTTCATCAAGGGAGTGCCTGTCGTCCTGTTATTATTATTATTATTTTTTTTTTTGCCTGCTGTCCTAAGGTGGTTGGCAGGACTGCAAAGTTGCTTGATGTTACGATCCTGGCAATCTTGCAGTGCAATAACTCGAAAGAAAGACAATGTCATTCAATTGCAAATGAAACGAAAGTGTAATGAAACCTGCAGATTCTCAGTGGGCTGTACATTAGGCTGAGGGCGAAGCCTGGGGCTTGCCTCGGTCTGGTCGCGTCGTAGGTTAGATTCATGATTTTGTGTTTTCTGTGTTTTGTTGTCTGTGCTGTTGCTGTGTTTTTTTTCTTAACGCATTGAGGTGCGATGACGTGCTGATTTCTGCTGCCGTGACTAACGGCGAGGTTGTACCCTGTTGCGTGTGCCTGTTGTGTTTTGCAGCGTGCTTTGTTGTGTGTGCGTGCAGAGTTTTGGGTCACACTGAGGCCTATATGCTGTTCTAAAAATAGACCCATTCCGGCCCTGCGATTGCAGGCCCAGTCTTCCCCGACGTCATAGAGGCCCTAAGGGCCTACAGTGGGTAGAGCCCGTAGCTGGGAAGGGCCTAGAGGCCCTAAGTCGAAACGGTACCGGTAGAGCAGTTTCGGTCCAGTAGGTCTAGGGTAGAATCTAGAAATAGGACAGGCSGAGTAGGTTTAGGACTTTTGACAGTTCATTTCTCGCGAAGCAGCGTTGGAGAAGCCAAGCAAGTTGGTGGCGGTGACTGTCTGCAGGCGGCATCCTSAGACCTCGCCGTTGACAGCAGCCATAGCCGGCCCAGTCTGAGTCTGCCATAGCTGGGGCATCCTCAGCGCATCTACCCCTGGGGTATCTGCGTCTGGGCGGGCTATATCGAGGCTCTACACTGTGTACTCGTGGGTGGTGGCAGCCATAGCTGCCTGTTCCTTCGTCAGAGTTGTCCATCGGCACTGAAGACTCCATCGCAGGACCTGTTCTTCATCAGGGTGGTTGGCGCTGGCCTCTGAGAGGCTTGTTCTGATACAGCGCTACTAACTGGGTGTAGGATAGAGAGTGGGGTGTGAGTTTTGGGTGTGGCGAGATACTGGAACAAACTCTGTTACAATATTGTGTGAGTGGCTCATCATCAGTGACAGTTTCAATTGTGATCTTCGCAGGTTCTTCCTTGTGATTGGTTGTTGGGAGTTGTGTCAGAGAGTGAGAAACACTGTGTGTCTTCTCCCCTACTGTGCATGATTGTCTTCCGCTGTTTATCTTTACCTGTGTGCAGTGTGGACTCTGTCTACTCTCTCCCCATCTCTTGTGCATGTATGGGCATGTATGAGACTGTCTGTGTGTGAGTGGCGAGAAAATTCGTCAGACAACCAAGTTCGTAACAAAAGAACTTGGAAAGAGAAATAGACAAAGGAAGAAGAAGAAAAAAGAATGGAAGAAGAAGAAGAACACTAGCAAAGACCAATGTCAATCCCCCTTCATCTCATCACCATCTTCAACCTCCAATTGCTCCCCCAACTTTTCTTAATAATAATAACAATAGTGATATAGTAATAATAATAATAATAATAATAACAACAGTGAAAGAACGAACTAGAGCCAAGAATCCTCCCATTACTGCCAGCCACTCAAAGGGCCCACCATAGCTATCCCCTACACCTTCCTCCTGCTCTGTCGAGCAGGTGGTTATGGCAGACTATCAGAGTGAGGCTCCGATGTTCAAAGGACAACGCAAAGCAGCTATGTCCTTCCTACTCTGGCCGCCATGCCTAGCACTACCATCCTAGTCTTCCTTGCGGGTGCCAACCCCCAACTGGGGCCTTCCAGGTGCAGCACCAACCAAGAAGATGAAGATGCAGACCACCATAGCCAGGTAAGCTCCCCAGTCACTCTCCTCCTTGCTCACCGTCTTCCTCCCCACCCTCCTTCTCGCACAGAGTCTCCTCCTTGGTCCTGTCCACCATAGCCAAGGTGGAGGGCCAAGCCGCCTTCTTCCTCCACTCAGCGCTCCTCCGCCCGGGCAGTCGGTCCAGCAGTGTGCCTCCAAACTGCACGCGAGCAAATGAGGAAGAGCTCTTCGCTTTCTCTCTAGAAATACCGGACTGCTGCCTCTTCCAGCGGTGGCTGTCCAGGCCGTGCCGCGTCCCCAAGCTACCAGTACCTCCTACTTTGGAGCGAACATTATTTCCCAACTCAGACTACTGGGATGCTACCCCTAGACTCCAAGCCTACCGGACTTCGTACATTCCTTCCGCCCAGCTTTTTGTCTTCTTCTGCCTACCTACCTGCTACTTGAGTGTTTTCCATCCTCCGCAAACCAAGCCTACTTCTAGTTTCCCGCTGCGCCCATCACAACACCCAACCACAGGTAAGTACCAGGCCCACGGCCCTTCTCAGCACGCAAGTAAACCTGGCGGATCACACACACTCGAGCAATCATGTAGTCAGACAAACGCACGGAAACTCACCAATCATGCACACACACACAACTCAGAACACAGCAGAGCTCACAGTCTGTGATTTTGCAGGTCGTTACATTCAGCTTTTCCTACCCCCCTTCAACCCCCTCAAACTCCCTGCTCGCCCCCCCTCTGAACCAACAACCCCTTGGAAAGTAATGCTACTGCAAGGACACATATCTCTACAAAAAAAGACCAATTGAACATCATCAATGTCTTATTGAAAGAGAAGGGTACCGTACCTGCTGTGTCATAATCATCCACAAGGAAGTTTGCAGGCTTCAAGTCTCGCATCAGTATTCCTCGGCTGTGGAGCTCTGCCATTGCACGGCAAATATTTGTGCCATATCTGCGAGCGATGATCATGCAAAAGATCATTCAACCAGTGGACGTCAACACACTCTTGAGTGATTTGGCTGCCTCCCCCCCACACATCCTTCCTCCCCACATAACCCTCCTCACCTGGAGGGGGGGGGGGGGGGGGGGGGGAATTCAAAAAAAAAAAAAAACCTCACCTGAAGGTAACTTTCCTCTTTTATAACTCCCTTGATTCCTTGAACAGTCTTTAACTTTTTATCATTTCTAGATTTGTGTGTGTCATCCTTGCTTGGCGGGAATACATGCTAACCTACTCTGTATCACTACACTCGTAATGGATACTCCAGGGGACTGTTTCGAAGATTGGTCTGATCTTTTTTTTTTTTTTTTTTTTAACTTCAGAAAAACGTTTAAGGCCAGTTTCAAAGCCAGTTCCTGCAAATGTGGAGCCCAAGGTCAGTCAGAGAAAATGGGAAGAAGTGGAGATGGAAAGAGAGTGGTTTGTAACTGTATGAAAACGCACGTAGACAACATTTATTTGGGTATGGCTACTATGGCATGATAGGGCTAATGGCTTGTCCTTTGGGACATCCGTAAAAATTGGAAGGATACAGAGAAGATTAGCATGGGCCCTGCGCAAGGATGACACGCAAAAAAAAAATAAAAAAAATGATAGGGCTAATGGATCACTCAGAAGTCAGAAAATGTTGCTTCTGAATCATACACGGAAGGAGAGTACCTCCAGGTAGCATCCTAGAAATGAACTTTTCTCATTGGATGCTACCAAGGGGCAGTTGCCTGGTGGCAGGTGTTTGAGGGCAGGTTCACACTGAGTGCTCAGAAGACAACCACTCAACACAGAACCAGAAGGGGCATGAGTAGCAAGGATTTTTTTTTTTTTTTTTTTTTTTCAAGGATTGAATTTGAAGTTTGAAGTGTTTGATGAAGATGCACAAATTCCAAGAGACGCAATATGCCAGGTGCAGGGAGGTTTCCATTTCAATCTCGTACTGACTGTAAAAATCTGATTTCCGCCCCCCCCTCCCTGAAGGGCGACCATCTCGGTATGATCTGGGCACTCGGCCCAGGTTCATCCGTTAAAATTTAAAATTGGAACGACGCAGAGAAGATTAGCATGGTCCCTGCACAAGGATGGCATGCATAAATCGTGAAATAATAATTTCAAATAAACTCTCTTGTACTATTCAGTATCTGCTTTCAACATTTCTCGTTTCCCTGGTCTTGGCTGGGCTCCAATCCCCATTCGAATTTCCACTCATGACCCTGACCAGCATGTTTCATTCTCACATTTGCCCACGCTGGCAGTGGCACACCACATTCCACATAGTGCAGTGCAATGATACACTTTGATATCAACCCATTCGCGCCCAATTCTCGCCCAGGAATATGCCCACCCTGGCAGTGGCACACCACATTCCCATGATTCCCCATAGTGCAGTGCAATGACACACTTTGGAAACCACGTTCTGCTTGCCAAGGAAACACGCATCTGTAACAACACGGTGCCACCCATTTGCGCCCAATTCTCAGAATGACGCTCAACAAGCAATATGCCTCCTCCAGACCCTGACAATTGCCCTTGTCGACAAGCATTTCCATGCCGTGTTGACATTGTTGACAATCATGTGGCCGCAGTAGATTATACCATTATACAAACACACGTTACATTTGCGGGCTCCCTTCATTGAAGGCTCCAAGAGTCGCCTCAATGCCAACATCACAGATGTGATGAAAACACCGAGGCTCGGTCTCGATGAGTATATGGCAATATGCCATGTTTATAGCAACCATGAGATCAACACCAAGCAATGAGTCAGTCATGGCTGACAGTCTCTCCCACTTGTGCAGATGATGGATTGCAATTCTTTCAAGATGCCAGCATAGCTTTTCCAGTTATGCCTACCAGGCACTTATTCAGGCTGCCTCACGGGCTGCCAACAAATCTCTTCGGCAGGCATAACAGCAATTTTCCATGGTACCGGACTACCAGTCAATAAAACCCCGCACAACCTGGCAATGTGCTGCAAACGCTAGTATGCATACAGGTTATCACAGCATCCTGACAGTCCAACACATGGCCAAACATCGGTGGAGTCTGTGCCACTCTGTGGCCAGCATGCAACGTTTGTTGTCTCAGGTGCGATAGCAAGGCCTGCACCCCCGAGGCCACCTCGGGAGCCTCGATGACCATGCACTTTTTAATCAATGCTGGGGCTCCACTGACACCCCGCCTTATCTCTACTTCGCACTCAAGTACACAACTCTCCACCAGCTCTTCGTCCAATCCTTGGAGTCAGTGAAACAATCTTCCCCAGTCTGCACCTTGCTCATCGACTTGTCACCCTTCAGTCTCAATCTCTTGCAAGCACAACAATATCCTCTCACTCGCTCAGCTATGCTCTCCAAGGCGTGATCAGGTCTCTTCACGATAAGGATAATGAGGTCTATCAAGAAAGTGACATACAATGCTGTCGGATTATGCAAAGTGTTGAGGAGGTCATTTTGGATCTCAAGCAGAATGCACATTCCTTTCGAGGCTGAATGCCACACATAGCGGATTTTACCACGATGTACACTAACCTGCCACACGAAGGATCCTTAACAATGAGCTAAATGTTGTTCATGAAGCACATGATTATGCCTTGGCAATGATTCCATAGGGAAGGAGGCTGGTACAAATGTGCATGACAGTGGGAGGTCCTCATCGAGGGGATATAGAACAACATCTGTGGTTTGCGGTCTCTGACACTCATCTCTATGCAGCAGATGACACTCTGCTCCATCAGGTAGCTGGTATAGCTATGGGCACTAATGTCGGACTAGAAATTGCCAATCCCACGCTCTATTGGGACAAGGCATAGTTCATTGACGAACTTCGGCCAGCGAGATTTATGCAGCTCAAGCATATGCCTTGACATCTTCGTCCATTCATGACATCCTATCCTGGAAGAAATCTCCACCACTTTGTGCTCGGTATGGTCTTCAATGGAAAGAGCCCACCGAGCAAGATGGGTCATGTCTCGTCTTCGAGGCAAGAAACTTCGTTTGCAGAGCTGCAACGGGTACACAAACCTACACCCACCTGACCCACATGTTTGGGTCTAAATTAACCAGCTTGTGTCAGATGTGGGTGCACCTAGGTAAGCCAGTCTGGGTGGGTGACGAGTGGGTCAGTGTTCGGCCTGGGTCAGCAGATTGGTTGGGTGACAGGTAGATGATATGGTCTTCGGAGGTGCGACTATAAACCACAATCATGGCAAAATGTAGTCCAAGTATATGAGAACGTATTCTTCAAGGATGCCCTTGAAGATATTGTTTATCGTCGTCCGAAAGGTGGCGAGTGCATTGGTGAGGCCGAAGGGCATCACCGTGAACTCATAGTGGCTGAAGCACGATTAGGCGTTCTTCGGCTGGTCCTCTACGGGAACTGGATCTGGTGGTATCGTCGACACTACAAAAATCGATCTTCGAAAGGAAGTGGCTTCCTGCCAAACGGTCAAACAACTCGTTAGCACGAGGCATATGATAACTATTTTTAACCGTGTAGCAGTTTGGACCACAATGATCAATGTAGAGTTCGGCAGTACCGTCCACTTCGCCAACAAAAAGGATGAGTGCAACCCAAGGGGAGATACTGGGTTTGATAAAACCCAATAGAACGAGTTCCTCAAGCTAACGTTTGAGTTCTGTTACCTTTGGAACCGAGAGCTCGTATCTGATGGTGAATAAGGTAGCCGGGCAACCGCTGTATGAGAGATACGGGGGAAAGTCGTCACAGTACTCTTAAACCTCTAGTACCTTTGTCGTTTCGGAAAATAGCAGGCCTCTGACCTTTCAGGAGGCCAAAAGAAACGACAACCGTAAATTAGATTTATCAATGGCAGTCGTCGTTGGGCCCGGCCTCCAAATTCCTCGGGAGCTCTTGTTTTCCCTCATTTCTGAAGCGACAAAGGTACTAGTGGTTTAAATCAGATCATGAACATATGGCTCCAAACCTGCGATGAGCCGCGGATGTTGGTCAATGTTTTCCTTCTCACGAGGTATAGGTGTGGACTCGACGATGGACGATGTGGGAGATTGGGATGTGGAACAAGTATCCATAGGCTGAGAGGTGGGTATGCTGATATAAGCCACGAAAAGAGATACAGGGTCGGATGGGCCATGCTCCAAGGGTATAAGCTCAGTGTCCTTGCAAATAGGACCATAGCGGAGAAGATCCATGACTTTCACCATGTAAAGTGCGACGTCTTGTTGACACATGAAGTCAACAAACTGGAGGGGAGAGGTAATGGAGATGTCGATGTCGGACCCGGAGGAGAGATGATCCAAGGAAGGTAAATGAGGCAAGGTCTGATCCATGGTGCCGAGAAAGGGGACATGATGGGCAAGACCACACTTCATTTCAATATCAAGTATCTCAATCTCTGATTCAGCCTCACCCGAGCGGAACAAGACCATCATGTGCCAAGGACAAAATTGTACTGGATCTCCATCACCTTCAAATGTGCGGAGGAAAAAGGTGTGGAGCCAAGGGCATCTAAAGGGGTAGGGAGAAACGTAGATGAACGACCGTTTGATTAAAGAAGCGCATTGTCTTATTATCTTCAACGATGACAGAGATAGGAGAAGGAGACCGATGGTGAGAAGAGCCTCCTCAACAATATGAGGATGAATGAAATCGCCCTTTGAGATGGTCCCATAAGGCGTGGTACACCCTGTTACTAGTTCCTATACGGATGTGGACGATAGCGTCGATAGTTAGGGTGCCATTAGGATCGGCAGAAAGACGGGCGAGGTGGTCCAATGCATGCATCTGTCTAGTAAGTCGCTCCTGATGGGCCTGAAGGATTCTGAAGTCCAAGACACCACACAACATCGTCCCTAGTTGCCACCTCAGCACTACGTGTTCTGCGAAGGGCATGACGCTTCAAAGGTCTATGAGGTGAAGGAGTAGAGACGGTGGTCTGCTGGGGAAGCAGACGGTACCTTGACAAACGATTGGGCAAGTGGAGTCACATCTATCATCGGTTGAGGGTCCTTGCATGTGGTGGCCAAAGGCAAAAATCTCAACTTGGAGGTCGAAAAACTGCTACTGATGCGGCCTCAACGGTACGGTGCATCTTACCTAGGTGGGGGTGTGAGATAGCCGAGCGTCAAGTGGGGATTTTGAACGAAGCTGACTCAAGCACTACCGGGCTAGGGCCGCGTGGTAAAGACACCTCGAAGAGAATGAAAATGGACAAATGATCCAGCCACGTGGCTGCGACATGTG